CAGTAATTCCTTTATGACCGAAGTGAGGAATAAATCCAAAGCTTCCCGCTCAAATGGCTGCATGACAAGGACAATAAGCATGCCCGCACTTGATCCCTTACGATGAGTGGCACAGCAAGAATGGTGGACGTTCGTGCATCTGGATACCTCTCAAATTCCCGGTCCCGGAATAATCGTCTGGATGGACACGTCAGGCTCCGATTATCTTGCTTGGCATGACACGTGGGTTCCTCATTGAATCCTATAAATACCCCCCCGGGCCACGTCAAAAAGGTAATTGAAACCAACCCTAAGCTATTTTTATCTCCTCCCTAAAGGTAGCCCCGATTATTGCTGACTTAAGCATCGGAGTGTCTACCCTGAGTTCCACCTCGGGGCTTTGTAGGTCATCCCGGAGTGTAAGTGCGGACTGAAGAAGGACTTCTGGTTTGGTGCAATTACATTGGCGCCGTCTGTGGGAATTGAACTGAAAGCTTTCTAGTTGCTCTTTCATCATGGTTCACACTCGATCAGTCCGCGCTGGTAATTCATCTCTGCCTCACGGGCAAGGTCAACCCTCCAACAACCTTCCACCTCTGATCCCACCTCAAATCCCACCTCAGCTTCCACCTCAGTTTCCACCTCAGGTCCCAACCATATTCCCTCCTATTGATCATGCAGAAGGAGGAGATAAAAACCAACCCCATACCTCAGCCCACAATTTAACTTCCACTGCCAACCAAGACGTGGTGACAGCTCAGCTTGCTACCATGCAGCAGTAGTTTGGTGTTTTTCAGTTGGTTCTGGCTCAGCTTTTAGCTAGAAATAATCCTGGTGATCCTCTCATTAATTTACTAAACCCTGCTCAACAACCCCCAGCTCCACAATAGAATCCTCAACCGGTTCAATCTGCTCCCGCTGTTAGCGAATCTCAGGGTCAATCCCACATAGCACCCGCTCAGCAACCCATCCCTGATGATGTTACTCGCCGTCTCGATAGCCTGGAGAAGCTAGTAGCCGAACACCGAGGTGCTCCACCCCCACACCATGCTGCTGACTCTATACCTCACCCTTTGAATACCAACATTACTCTAGAACCCTATCCTGCTGGTTTCAAAATACCACAATTGGAGACTTATGACGGGACGAAGGACCCCGATGATCACCTGCATGCTTTCTACTCTTGTATGCAAGCTCAGAACGCTTCTGACGCGTTAATGTGCAAAATCTTCCCCTCTACTCTGCGAGGTAATGCTCGAACTTGGTATTATAGTCTACCTCCGTGGTCAATTAGTTCTTACACAGAAATGGCATCTGCCTTTGCCATTAAGTTTTCTAGTAGAAGGTTGATTAGGAAAACTACTCCCGAATTGATGCGAGTCAAACAGAGGGACGGAGAGTCCCTAAAGAACTACATGAGCAGGTTCAATGATGCGGTGTTGGAGGTTAATTCCTTCGACCAAGCTGTGGGCATTGCAGCTGTAATCTCTGGTCTCAAACATGACAGGTTCCGAGACAGTTTGATCAAACATGCTGCCACCACCTTTAGCGAGGTAAACGACAGATCTCTGAAATTCATAACTGCTGAGGAATACGCCCTGGCGCAAAACCCACCTTCCTCTAAGAACCAGAACCCAGAATGGAGAGATGACAATCCGAGCCGGAAAAGGATGAGAATGGCGCAGAACCGAGGTCCGATGTTGACCTCCCTAACGAGATTCGGAAGGACGAACTCAACACCTCCGCAACAATCTGCAGGTAAACCTCCAGTTAATTGGACTCCCTTTAATCTGCCGATGTCACATATTTTTATGCAGATCAAGAATAAAATGGATTTAAGGCATCCTGACCCGATGAAAACTGCTGCTGCTAGTCGAGACCACACCAGATATTGTGATTTTCATCAAGATCACGGCCATACTACAGAGCAGTGCAACAGCTTAAAGTCTGAACTGGAAAGTTTAGCTCAGAAGGGACTGCTAAATGAGTACGTTCAGAGAGTTGAACAGCCGAGGTTTATTAGAGAACAGAGACCGCAGCCTCAAGAAGCCCGCAATCCCCTAAACAGGCAATGTGTGGGATATCAGCAAGCCCCACCTCCACTCCCACCCCAAGCTAGAATCATACACATGATTACGGGAGGCCTTGAAGCAGGTGGACTGAGCTCTAAACAGCGAAAGCTGTATGTCAGAGAGGTTAAACATCACAACCGAGCTCAGAAGAGGAAGGTTGACGATGCTGAGTGGAAGAATCAACCCATTACTTTCACATCTGTTGATCTCGATACAGTTGTCACACCCCATAATGATCCCTTGGTCACTTCTGTAATGATTAATAATTGTGAAGTACAACGTGTCCTTGTTGACATCGGGAGTGCACCAGACATCATGTACTTCCACTGTTTCAAGAGTCTGGGACTGGATCCAGTATTGTTGCAGAAATATGATGGTCTTATTTATGGTTTTAACAACCAACCTGTTCCGGTGGAAGGAGTTCTTACCCTTCACGTGGCTTTCGGGAGTGGCAGGACCTATGTGACCCCGTCGGTCCAGTTCCTCGTAGTAAAGATGGCGTCCTCTTTCAACATTGTTATTGTTCGACCCACACTGACTGAAATTCGAGCTGTAGTTTCCCAATCTCACCTCTGCATGAAGTTCCCAACTCCTATGGGAATAGCAACACTGCGAGGAAACCAGGAGGTGGCCAGGCATTGTTATATCACCTCGGTAACGCAACCCATGAAGGGCAAAGCTCAGACACCCGAGGCCATTCCTCAGCAAATTCCTGATAATCAGCAAGTTATGGGTGTTGAGATCATAGATAATCGACTGGAGGATGAAACCAGAGTTGCTCCGGTCGAAGATGTTGAAGAAGTGCTCATTGATGGTAGAGATCCGAGCTGAAAGATGCAGATCGAAACTAGATTGAACCCAGAGGAAAGGGCAGAGCTAATAGCTTTTCTTCGAGCTAATAATGATGTATTCGCATGGACTTTGGCAGATATGCTAGGAATTCCAAATTCAGTCTCTCAACATAAGCTCAGCACCAATCCATTGAAGAAACCAGTGGCCTAGAAGCGGCGTCTCTTTGGGGGTGAGAGGCTTCAGGCTATTAAAGACGAGGTAGAGAAGCTCCTACAGGCTGGTTTTGTCAGGAAAGTTGATTATTGTGAATGGGTGGCTAACCTAGTTCTGGTGAAGAAGGCAAATGGCAAATGGTGAATGTGCATTGATTACACAAATCTTAACAATGCCTGTCCTAAGGATTGCTACCCAATGCCGAGCATTGACAAACTAGTTGAAGCAGCTTCAGGCAATGAGAGGTTAAGCCTCTTGGACGCATATTCGGGGTATCACCAGGTGCCAATCGCTCCAGAAGACGAAGAGAAAACCGCGTTCTATGCTGGCGATGAAATTTATTGTTATGTCATGATGCCATTTGGCTTGAAGAATGCAGGTGCTACTTATCAGAAAATGGTAACCATTGTCTTCCACGCTCATATTTGCAAGAATCTAGAGGTATATGTCGACGACATTGTGGTAAAGAGCCTAAAAGCAGAAGACCATCTCTCCGACCTCGACGAAACCTTTAACAACCTTAGAAAGAACAGGATGCGGTTGAACCCAGCCAAATGCATCTTCGGAGTGGAGTCTGGAAAATTTCTA